TTTTGCAGATAAATTCACCGGGAAATTATTTGTCAAAACAAGAAAAAAAATCTTTGGAAAAATGATTGATTAGTCGAATCAAAATCGATAATCAATATCGTGATACATTCAGAAAAAAAAGTGACCACATTTTATTGATCTAATTGAATCTCTGCTTTTCTTTTCTTTGAAGGGGCTTGTCCATAAAGGTAAAGAGGCTATATTTGCCGCCGCCTCTGATCATCATCATCATTATCATTATAATAATCATCTACTTGATTAGAGGCTATTTTAACCGACACATTCTTTTTATTATTTAAGACGCGGCATTTCTTTTCAAACTATTTTAACATTATTTTTTTCAATCTTTGTTGTTTTGTTGTTTTTGTTTGCACTTGTTTGTCGGCAAATTCATATTAAGATGATATTTTATTAATAAAAAGAAAAGAAAAGAAAAAAAATTGATATTCTTTTGACTGAATTTCCATGAAAAAAGATTAAGGATGTTAAGAATATCAGCTTTGTTTGGTGATTGTGTCATTGTGAATATTTTTTTTCATTTTTTCAAAAAAACATTGTCGGCTTGATTTTTTTTCCAAATTCAATTTCCTAATAAGTTTTTACACATGTTCACACACACACACACACACGAGATAAATAATCCGGTTTTCTTTCTCTCTATTTCTTTCTTAATTTAATTTCATTTTTTTCTTACTTTAACGTTTTGTTTTTGGCTAATGATTTAGTTGTTGTTGATGATGATCAACCAACAACAATTCATATATAATTCATCAATTCAAATATAATTATCAGGCGGCTTATTTCAACTAAATTACAGGTTAGTTTTAGAGTTGTTGAGCATTAAATAGCTTTCAAAAAAGACAATGTTGCCGAAATTACAACAACAACAACAACAAAAAATGTATGGACAATTTGTCCAAAATAAAATGATGGTTGAACAAAAAAAAAATTGTCTAATTGTTCAGGTGTCTTTCATCATCATTCGATATTCACCTGTTTTAACTGTGATTGAAAATCTCTTTTTTTTTTTCTGTGTCAAATATATATCGATATAATCGATAATCAGATTTTCTTCATTTTTTCATTCAAACATTATTTCATCATCATCATCATCAAAAATTTGAAAATTGTTTTGATGATTGAATCTAGCGAAAGAAAAAAAAATTATTGATCAATTACATCATAGTCATTATCATTTATTAGTCATCATCATCATCATCATCAACCACACTTGGTAATGATGATGATGATGATGATGATAATGATGGTAATGATGCCAACAACAGCCAAAGAGAGAGAGAGAGAGAGAGTAAGGGAAAAAAATCGGAACCGAATTCTGTTCTTCAACTTGTAAAGACAAAATTAAAAATTAATTTATCGTACAACGATGATCATGATGATGAATATAAAAAGAATGAATCAAGTGAATCTGAAAAACCCAAACGATCAATATAAAATAATAACCCGAATCAATTATTAGATGTGAATTTTTTTACATTCGGTTGTTGTTTGATGATGATGATGATGGTGTTATAGCCATATTATTATTATTGGCTGCTGGTAATGGTTTTTTTTCTTGTTTCGGGTAAATTCAAGGTGTCTTCTTCTTTTTTTTTCATATATCTAAGCATCATCATCATTGTCGTAGTTGTTGTTGTTGTCGGCATCGGTAAAACATCAAAAAGATTCATCATCTTTAGGGAGAAAAAAATTGAAAAGAAAAAAGACCTACCGACTGACAGAATGAAATTATTAGCTCATGATGATGATGATGATGATGAACAGCAGAAGCAACATCTTTTTCTTTGTTGCTTTGCTTGTTCTAATAGTTAGAGCCTCGGCAACAACGATTCAGATTTTTTCGGGCAATCAATCCAAATGATGGCAAATAATGGATGATAACCATTGATGATGATGATGATGAAAACCCTATGTCCAAAGTCTTTTCTATCTTGTTCTTGTTCAAAACAATGTTTTCACCTTTGATTTTTGGACTTTTGAATCCATTATGTGTTGTTGTTTTTTAGCACCCAAAAGCAGCAATGTTTTTTCCGATCGCTCTTTCGTATGATGATGTTGGCTTGTTAATGAATTTTAATTATCAAACACCCAGCAACAATAATAATGAGCTTGGAAAAAGAAAAACATCCATTTTTTTCTTGGTTGATGAAAATCGAAAAATTCGCAGAAAAAAAAGAAAATGCCGAATCCGATGCGTGCTTTGCTTGTTTTTGTTGTTGTTGTTCACGTTCTCACGAATCTTTTTGGTGCAGACAATTGATAGATTTTTGTGAAAAGAAAAAATTGATTTCCTGATGGTTTTTTTTTCATTCAATTTTTTTTAAAGAAAATAAAAAATTTTCGAGAATTTTTGATATTGAAGGTTTTGTTTTTTTTTCTGGTTCTGATATCGTCCATCTGGTTTTTAACACTTTTACTACTTGGCAAACACTTTTTTCATTATTATTATTAATTTTGTTTTGTCGATGATGAACATTTCTATTTTCAATTAATCTTGAGCAAATGAATAAATAAAAATGATGATCCATTAATCGAATTGATTCTGTCGGCATTCTTTTTTTTTCCCAAGTTCCATTACTGACCTATGACCTTTTAATGAAAACAAAATGTTAAAAAGCGGCATTTTTTTTGCAGTTGTTTGAATGAAAAGAAAAAAAAAGGAGAAATCCATAAATAGATAATGTTAACCACAATGATTAAAGAGATGATTTTTTTCAAAGAAAGTGTTTAATTTTTCTCCTTCATTAACATCATTATCACCAACATATCAAGAATCATGATCAGAATTTTCTACTTTTCTCCATTTTTTTGCAATAACCCTTTTCCAGATTGGTTTTTTTTTCGTGATCAAATGTGTATATGATGCGCATGATGTTGTTTTCAAATTGATAATGCGTTACATGAACGCCCTGACACGCGTGTCTAACACATTGAGGCATTTTCATAAACATTCAATTCATTGAATGAATTGATTTTTTTTCTGTTTGTTTGTTTCAATCAAGATGAGAATCTGTTTGTTGTCTGTAGAATTCATTAAAATGTTTATCATCATTTTAACCTGTTGTGTATTTTTTTTTCTCAGATGATAATGATGATGATAATGGTGTGATGGTGTTAAAATTTTTTTCCCCAACTCAAAAACATCAAATTAAATTTGCTGTTATCAAACATGTAGTGGTAGTAGAACTAGTTTGTGTATTTATCCAATCAAGACCTATAAAATTTGTGTCGTTATCTTTCTGTTATTCAACAACAACAAAGTCATAGAGTTGAATAATCGGAAAAAATTGATGATTTATTTCGTTACAATGGTAAAACTATCATCATAATCATTATCAAATATTGACCATTACAATTTACCATGTACACTTCACACACACACAACATATTATCATCAACGGATGATAATATCATAAGATAGGATTATCCATCGATGATGATAATAGTGTTGTTGTTGTTGGTGGTGGTTCATTCACCATTGCCAAAATAAAAAACCCGAATGCCTCGCCTTCTCAATCTAAAGTCAAATCTACAAACGTTGTTATTAATTTTGTTGGTTGGTTAAAATTATTTCTCACAAGATCACATCATCATCATTATTATCAAAAATCTTATTACTTAAAGGGGAAAAAAATCAATCATTCATTTGGTTAATGTGTGATCGTGTAAAGTAAAATATCTTGTAAATTTTTCTTTTACAACAGGATTTTTTTTATTGTTTATGTGATTCGAGATTATTAAGGAAGAGAGATTGTAGATGATGTTTGGTGCGAATATATTTTCCTCAGAAAAAATGGAATTTAAATGTGAATATAGAACCATAGATTCGATGATGATGATGATGTAGGCCGGTATATTATCCTCGATAATGATAATGATAATTGGCTCCAGAAAAAAAGGTGTAGTTGAAAAATTTCTTTTATTGAGAAAAAATCTTTTTTCATCGAAATAATGATTGAAGAAAAAAAACTATATAATTTTCAATCATTATTATTATTTTACAATAGCCATTTTCGGGTATTTTTTCTTTTTTTGTTGCTTCCTTTTTGATTTAAATAATTACCACTTTGGTACACATTTTCTTCTTTTGGTTATCACAGTTCTTTTAATGAATGTTGTTCAATTTTTTTCATATGTTATTGACCGATGGTCATTTCACGATTTATTAAATTTAAGATGATGATGATGATTATTGGTGATCATTGATGAACAAGGTGTTGTTATTCTTTGACCTTTTACCTTGAACAAATTGTTTTTTCGGTATGAAAAAAACACGTGATAAATAAAATCACTATATATAAAGACAAATTGTTTCTTACGAAGACAGATGTGTCTGTATGTGTGGTAGTCTCTTGTTTTTTTTCAGTTTGGTCCAATTATAAGGACAATTAATTATGCAGATTTTGTTTTTGTTGAAGAAGTTGAAAAAAACCATGACCAAAGAAATGATAATCAATTTTTGTTGTTGGTTATTTTAGTTTGATTCTTGCACCTGGTCCTGGTTTTCTTGCAAATAGTGACGGTGGACCCTTGCAAAATTTACTAAATTACCCCAAAAAAAAAGTTTGGTTTTTCTTTGTGGTCATTGAAAACTCAATAGAACTGGCGTTAATGATAATGATGATGGCAGGAAAAGTTTAAAAAAGAAAAAACAATTAATCTCTTACTTGATCCGCCTGACCAATTACACAAAAGATGATCATCATCATTATTGTTGGATTTTATTTTTGTTCGTTGGTCATGATCAAAGTGTGTGAAGCTGACACTTACATAAAGTGTTTCGGTAAAATCATTTCAAGCAAACATCATTAATTATAGTCACACTATAGTTTGTTGTGAATGGTGGGAATAGAACAAAAAAAAAATTCATTACCATCTTTATTTTGTTATTTTTTTTTCCTGTTATTATCATTTGAATTTGAATTGATTTAAATTTTTTCAGAAAATAATAACTTTTTCTTTTTGTTTTTCCAATCTAGACGAATGTTTCCAACATTACGTTGTTCATTTTCTGGTATTGAAACAACAATTTCATCAATGTTAGGTTCAAGTGGACATCATCATCATCATCAACAACATCATAATGATGTTCGATTCTATGTTTGTATGGATATAATACCAATCGATAATAAACGTTATCGTTATGCATATCATCGTAGTTCATGGTTAGTTGCCGGTAAAGCTGATCCACCATCACCATCACGTTTATATGTACATCCTGATACACCATATTCAATCGAACAATTACGTAAACAAGTGATCTCATTTGAAAAGGTTAAATTAACCAATAATGAAATGGATAAAAGTGGACATGTAAGTTAATTTCTTTTTATAATCAAATAAATCACAACATCAACAATGCAAAACTTATTATAAAATTAGCAAATTTTCACTTTGTTGTTCTTACTAAACAAATCAGAATTTTTTCAATTCAATTCAATCAACAAAAAAAAGAAGTTAAATTGTCTGTAAAAATAAGAAAAAAAAAGGAATTTCGAATACAATTCAATTTTGATTGAAAATCATCAATTGAAATGAAGAAAAATACCTCACACATCGTCATATCTGCCCCTTAATACCTGATGTTTTTGATGATCACTTGCCATCATCATCATCTAAATGACGATGACATAATTGAAGCCAATTTACATGTGTCAATCGGTTTTCGTTCAACAACAAAAAAAATTAATAACCTTCAAACACGATTCTTTTCCATCGATGATGATCGATGTGTACCCCCAGATTACCATCCCAAATATTCATCATATATAACAATAGACAGACAACAATCGGCAGCATTTTTTTTTCCAAACCAAAACATTGATATATTCTGATTGATCATAATATTCAACTTTTAAATAATAATAATTATTATGTTGTTTGAATGTGTAAAACAACATTTTTATTATTACAACAATATTCGACACATTATCAATACGAAGATGATGATGATGTTATTGATCATTCTTTCATTCAGATCAAGGTGTGCGGTCGTTGTTGTTGTTGTTGTTTGAAAAGAAAAACATCAAATTTACTTTTTTTTATTGATCATTGTGATATTCGGATATTCAAATAATATTCAAAGATGGTGATGACCTTGGAATTTTCTTGTTTTTTTTTTGTTTTGTTTACCATATATCTAAAATCCATTGAACAATTTCGTTTAGATTTTATTGTTGTTGTTGTTGTTGTTGATATTTTTCGTCGTTATATTTGTTGTCGATACAAAACAACACAAATAACAATCATGTAAATAGGAGAAAATGATGATTGAGAGAGTGAGAAACAAATAGATGGATGAATGAATGAATGAATTTGAAAATCTGTTAACGTGCCAATCGTCAAATTGTCGATCTGATCGTTTGTTTTGTTCAATTTGTTTAATCATACAAAAAAAAATGTTTATGTTTTATATATTCATTCATTCATGATTCATAAATGTTTATCATCATCGATTATATTCATTCATCATAATCAAAATCGTTTTTTTTGATTATTTTTCAAATTCAAATCGATCAATTTTCAAACAAAATTCAAATAACTATTGTAATGATGGACAAGCAAAAGGATTTCATCCATGACTTTTGGTTGTTGTTTTTTTTACGAAACTGAAAAAATAACTCGAGACATTATTTTTGCAACCTGTGTTTGTGTCTAAGATAAGATACCAAGATTGGTCATTTTCAATTCAATCACAATCAGTCAAATAGTCAATTCTCAATCAGTTTTCAGTCAGCCCTTCGTTGATACACGATGACGATAATCATGTCCATTATCATGGCGGCCAAAATTTTTTTTTCCTCACTTAGTTCGAGCGGCATTCAAAAAAAAATATTTGAAAATTGCTCGATCCATACTTTTTTTCTGATGAAAAAGATCAACCAACAGCAACAACCGAAAATCAAAAAAATCAGATGAATTGACCGATTGTAAATATTGATTGATAGACGACGAAAAAAAAAGATTTAAAGTAGAAAGAAAATTGTTAAAATGAAAGTTAAAATGTTAAACATCGTAAAATTTGTCTGATGATGATTTTTTTTTCGTAAATGGTTTTGGCGTCAGCCAGCGTTGATCATTTGTGATTGTTCAATGATGAAAATGAAGAAAGCCAATATATATTTGGTTCATTGATTTATCATTGATTTTAACGTAATCAAAAAACATTTCTTCCTTCATCATTATAAATCACTTTGAAACAAAAAAAAGGAATATTCATTTAATGGCAATGTTTGTAAATTTCTGTAAACATTGTTTTCTTCTTCTTTTTTATCTGCAAAAAACAGAATTTCATTGTTGATGCTTGAAAATTAATGATGACACCTACATTAACACTAAATTTTAAAAAACAAAAACATTGATTTTATTGTTTGTTTTTTGATGTGCAAATAAAACAAACATTCGCTTCATTTTACATCCATTGAAATTCTTATTGTTTTATATTTCAAATTAGATCATCGTTATTTGACAGCTGTCAATTTTGATTTCATTCTATCACACATTGATACAAATCAATCATTTTCAAATTGTTTGTTTGAATCTCGTTCTAAATGTCTGTAGCTAAAAAACAAAATTTACCTTGTCATTATAGGTTATCCTCATCATCATCAATTCGAATATATTTTACATTTTGTCATCATCATCATCATTATCATTTACTATCTCAATCATTTCTGGCGCCAGTCATTTGCGACAAATTGCTTTATCATTTGAACAAAATCTTTCAATTATCTTTTTCTTTCATATAGATAAAAGTGTGTTGTAGTTTTGTCATTCTATTGGTCGTCGTTTGTTTATTTTATTTTTTTTTTCTTCATTTTGATGTTTTTTTTATTACACCTAAATGGTTCTTCTTGAAGAAAAAAAGCGATTTTCTTGTACAAAAATTTGTTCAATTTTGTTTTGAGGATAAAATCTTGATGATGAGGATGATGATGATCACATCTAATCTTATTATTTTAGTTTTTTCTTTTTCCCTTGATAATAATAATAATGATTTTTTTTGTTTTTGTTTCCATTGACTTTTATCAGCTTGTCGCATTTATGTTTTACCTGTGCAATTATAATGGACACACACACACACACATCACACTCACACACATTTGATGGTGTCCATAAGTGTTTTTCTCTCACTTTATATTTCCATCAAACTGACAGTTTTGTTTTTTTTTTGTTCACATTTAAAAGTTTTTTTTCTGATAATCAGATTGATGTCTATATGTATGTTGTCCATACATATAATGATTCTTTTTCGTTGATGTTGTTGTAAAATTTACAACATACAAGCCGAAACATTTTACCTTTGACCGATACGCATTTGATTGGTAACCATGATGATGATGACCTTGTATAAATGTCATTTTCATTTGAAAAGATCATTTAGATTTGGATTGGATTTTCTGCACGTCTGTGTGTGTGTGTGTGAGATAAATTATAATTTGCTAATTTTTTTCCAATTATGACATCAAGATTGTCTTTTCTTTTTTCTTGTTTCGGTCTAGTCGATTGTGATAAGCCAGTTTTTTTTTAGAAAATTAGTTTTTAATCGAATGTTTCGATAATAAGATCAATCAAATATGGGAAAATAATCAAATTGAAAATGATTTTGTTTTTTGAAGCAAAAAATTTCGCAAACTTTTCATCGATTTTCCATAATGATATTGCTGTTGTCAATGTAATTAATCGACACGAGCCATCATTATCATTGTTTATTACCTTAAAGCAAAAGAACAAAAAATGATACATTTCTGAATATTTTCTGACTTTTGCATCCATAAAATTTCGATCGATTATGATGGTAATTGCATTATGATTTCAAACAGCAAAAAAAACTTGTTGCTTCAAGGCGGTCGTTACATTTGATTACAAAGTTTCTATATCTAATCTAATCTGCATATGTTGATATTGTTGTTATTATTTCAATATTTTTGTCTTAATTTTTTAATTAATTATCGGTTTTTTCCCACAAAAAATCCCATATATAGATTATTCTAAATTCAATGCATCGTTATCAGCCACGAGTACATTTGATAATAAGAAAAAATCCACAATATTTTAATATGCCAATCACCGATATTGAATCCGAATTACATCGTACATTTGTGTTTCCTGAAACGGTATTTACAGCTGTTACTGCTTATCAAAATCAATTGGTATGTTTTTTTTCTTTCTTCTTTCTAAAAAAAGCTTTAATTTAAATTTTTTTTTCTTCAAATTTTAGATAACCAAACTAAAAATTGATTCAAATCCATTTGCAAAAGGATTCCGTGATTCTAGCCGTTTATCCGATCTTGAACGGTAAGTTTTTTTTTCAATTTCCACACGAAATGTATTGTGAAAATAGACATCTTTTTGTGTTTGTGTGAATTTCCTGGTAGCCTGTGTGCCAATGTTGATGATTATTATTATCATAATGAAGTGTTAGATTAAGTGAAGAAAAAAAATAATGAATGGATTTCATCAACTGGAATGTTGCTTCGTAAAAAAATGATCATCATTTTTTAAAAAGAAAGAAATTGCGAAAAAAATTTTTGAGATACGGCCAATATCTTCAAGATTTGTGTGAAACGAATATAAATCTTATTTTTTTTTTGTTGCAAAGATAATCTTGATTCGACATTTGAATTTTTCCGGAGAAATTTTCACAATAATTTTTCATTGCAAAGTTTTTTTTTCTTCGGCACTAATTGAATTCATTAGGTTTTTTCTTCAAAGATGCTTGCTGTGATGATTTTCTTTTCGTTTTTTTTCAACTTGCTTGATTCATTCGTAATGAATTTGTTGATTGATTTTTGTTTTTTTGTTTTGTTTCTATCCTGAATTGAGCTGATTATTAATTGAATGTAATTAATAAATGTTGTAAATTTGATGATTTAAATGTGGTAAATTTCTTATTTCACTCACTCATTCATTATATCATTTATTCTTGTGTCATTTTTCGGTTTCGTAGATAGATTTATTGAGTGTTTTAAATCTGATTATTATTTAAGTTGTTGAGAATTCGAACATTTTGCTTTGAATTTTAAATCGGAATAGCCCACCATGATCGTCGTTGATTCAATATTATAATCCTGTTTAGTCAGCTATCTACTATCGAGATTTTTGTAGAAATGTCTTGTAGACCAAGTATGAAAAATGACACTTATACACACACACAAACACTCAAATCGAGTCGAGAAAAATATGATGAATGAAAAATGAAACATTTTCTTTTTGGGATATTTAGTTTTACAAGTGAAAAAAAATTGATTGATTGATTGGTTGGTTGTAAATCGAAGAGGATCGAAAAGAGAAGATTGTCACTTTTTCAAAGACAAATTGTTCGGGTATTTTTTGTTCGCAATCATCATTTTAGGTTATCGATTTTTAAATATGACAAGTTTTGTGTATGTGTGTGACAGGACGAAAAAAAGTGATCATTAATTTTTCTGTTTTGTCCAAAGAAAGAACCAGAAAAATGTTTTTTTCCACTTGCCATGTTCACATCCATTCATCATAATATTCATCTACCATCGGATACCAAAAAAACAAAAACAAAAACAAAAATCATCATCAAAACAAAGAATTTTCCTTGTTGTTGTTATCAACATTTTCGTATGTATGTTTGTGTGTGGCCACAATTTTCAACGAAAATAAAAACGTAAAAATAAAAAACCACCAACACCGATCAATGATGATCATTTTCATTGTCGTAATTTTCCTTTTTCTCTCATTTTGCTTTGTTGTCATCAAGAATTTTTGTTTTTTTGTTTTTACGATTATCATCATCATCATCGACATCGACAACAGCCAAACATGATCATTGTTGTTGTCGTGTGTGTGTGTGTGTTCGGTTTTTCTATGAATTGTTTTTTCGATTTATTCTTGATAATTTTATTTTGAATCATTTTGTTGTTGATGATGTTCAAGGTTGCTATTCTTAATGATGATGATGTCTTTGTATGATAGTGGATGTGGAAATAAATGTCAAAGTTCAGAGGCTGCTGATTTTTCGGATTTTGTTGATGATGAACACATCTTTGTTTTTGGAAATCATCATCATCAGAAAATAAACAACAAACAGGCTACAAATGGATAAAATTACGATATTTGTTGCTGAAGCAAAGAGAAATAGAAACAAAAATCATCTTTACATTTTCATCTTTAGAACTGAAAATCATTTTCTTGATGAATGAAATCTTTTTATTCTGGACAGAAATGAATAAGGAAAAAAACCCCATAAATAATGTTGATGATGAAGATAGACTGAAATAACTAACAAAAACAACAACAACAACAATGAAGAAAATTCCGGATTCTTAATAATTAAATTATGCGAAAAAAATGAAATATTATTTGTTTATTTTTCATAAATATGAACAAAAAAAAAGAAAACATCAGTAAACATTGCCATCATCGTTTTGGTCGCGTGCTTTAATCCAGAATTTGTTTTTCTTTTAAGTTATTAAAGATGAATCATTATCATCATCATCATCTTATAAGATATTATCACAGAGAAATTTTTCTGAAGCATAACATCTTTTTTTGTTGTTGTTGTTGATTCAATTCATTCATTAACTCAATGAATAAACTTTTATTGTTTTTTGAATTGAACATTAAAAATTTGATAATTTTTTTGAAGAAGTAAGAATATCTCATATTTCTTTATTCTCATCTCATCGAAAAAAAACCCAATCGCGTACCCAAACATTGATGGATTGTAGAAAAAGTTTCTTGCTAAGAATATTTCATATAATTAATCATCTCTTTGATTAATGTTTTGTATACTTTTTTTTTGTCTCGGTTTGTCTTTGGATATTTTCTTTTGATGAATTTCTGTTCAAAGAAAAATTTCTTGACTTAAAAAAAAATTGTCACACATCTGCTGTGGTTTTTTCTATCATCATCATGTGTGTGCTCTATGTGTGTGGGCGATTCGGCTGTTGACCCAAATTGGCAAACAAACATACACACACACACATATGTTTGAACCGGTGATTTGGATCATTTGAATTTGATTTTACTTTTAGTTTTTATTTCTGAAAACGAAAAGTTCATCACTCAAAACGCCTCATAGATTTTAATGCGTTTAGTAGGGAAAAAATTGATTATCAAACGAACGAAAAAAAAATGATTGATCGATAGAATCTTCTTTATTTTTTGATGAATTTTTTTTTCTTTTCTCACTAGAAGAAAAATGATATTCGAATAAATTATAATCAATGTTGTTGATGATGATGATGATAATCAATATTAATTAGCGATATTAATTAACACTATACTATCACACCAGTACAAGTATACTTTTTTTAAATAATAATTTGAAATTTTTTCTGATCAATCCAATGGCTTTTAACATTAATTTTTTTATCTTCGTTGATTTCATCATCATCATTATTCGTTTCAGATAATAATAATTTTTTTAGATTTGTAATGAGTTTCCCACACACATACACAACAAAAAACACTTGATCAAAACGAACAAATCGTTTCAATGTGAAAAATTTTTTCTTTGATTTACTAATTCATCGGGGCTAATTTACCGTGTTAGATAAAACATCACACATTGGATTTTTTTTCTCTCTCTCTCTGCTTTACACAACCAACCATTATCATCATTTTTTTTTTTGGCTACATTCATAATATTTAAACTAACTTTTTTTTGAACGATAGATGTGAGATCAAGAAAGAAAGACTAATTTAGCATCGCTTGATCAAAGCATATTATGTGGTGGTGGTTTTTGTTTCTGATTTTGATCATTTTCTAATCATCATTTGATTGTTGTTGCTTTTTTTTTATTTGGCCGCCGCATCAATTTTTTTTATCCTGTTCGGTTTTTTGTTTTTATGGCTGGATCGATTCGGATTTTTTTTTTGATTTATTTTCATTTTCATGTTTGATTATTATTATTATCATCTAGGTAAAATTATTAATCAATTCAACCTGTCGATGATCATTATGATTATTTGATGAAAAAAAAATCAAAAATAGAAAGAAAATTGCCAAACATTACACAATTACAGTTAATTTGACCAAAGTAAATTGGTGATGATAAAGAATGTAGTAGTAAAGGGGAGAAAAATTTTCAACATGCAGCTGTACAATACGATGACAGGATAGGATTCATATATTGTTTGAGCTAGACAAATTCGTATGGCAACCATCATCATCATGATTGATCTAATTTAAATCAATCACAAACACATTGATTGTTTGATTTTATCTGAGTTCCTCAATGTTTGATTGTTTTTGTCGATAATTTTCTTGCCTTTTTTGAAAATTTTTTTTTGATTATAAATTCTTTATGATTTTGTTGTTTCAATAAAAGTAAAGCTTCGATGATGATGATGAGACCGGCTTCTTTAAGAAATATCAAGGCGACGATAAGGTTGTACTGATCACGATCTGTCTTATGGTCAATCAGTCTTTTATTTTGTCCATAAAAAGATATATTGGTTTCGGCTGATGAAGCTGAACATAGACAACAACAACAACAACAAAAAATGAAAAACATTGATTATTAAGCTCATCCTTACCACTTTAACTTGATGATGATGATGATGATGATGATGACATATAAATTGGCCACTTTTATTCATTGGAAATTTTCATTTTTCATTTTTTCGTTGATTTCACACACACATTCTGTTTTTATCGATGCTTAAACAATAATAATAATAATGAAAATTTTATAAACATTGTGTGATTGGATCGTGATCAGCCGGTTCGGTTTCAATTGATGATGAGAAAAAAAAACGGAGCTTATCATTTATTTTTTGTTGTTGCTGGAATGTCGGCTGCTACTTCGATTGAAAAGAAAAGAAACGACGACGACGACGAAAAAATTGATAATTTCAATCGAACAAAGAAGAGTGAAAAAAGAAATCATCAAAAAATGCATGATGGACAGCAGCAGCAGCAGCTGATTGATGTTAATTTGAAAAAAAATTTTCATCTAAAAAAAATTGTTCCCGTTTTTTTTCTACTTAATCAATGTTTGTTTACATCGAATCAAAATGATTAAAACAATAATCGATTTTTGTTTTGTTTATCATCCATTTTGGGCATAGGATTCGGATTTAATTAAATTTAATTATCGAATGTTGTTGAATGGAATTTAAAATCCTTGATGCATGCAATTTTTAGTATTGAAAAAAAAACAGAAATAAAATAAAATAAACGGATTTTAAATCTTTAATCGATGACACATTTGTGTATGCAATGATTATAAGGATCGTGAAAGTTGAAGCAAATTAGCCATTAATTTTCGGATTAAAATGCTGTGTGGGGAGAAGCCACACAGAAATAAAACCACACACTTTGTCATTGGACTTGTCTTGTTCTTATTTTGTTCAGTGTTTTATGATCTTGATTTTCGAGTTTTTGTTTCTGTTTCTTAACTAATGATTTGAATTTTTTTCTCTGCTTTTTTACAGTGAAACAATGGAATCAATGATGACCGATCAATGTTTTAGTGCTCGATCATTTTTTGCGGCTGCTGCTGCAGCTTGTGCTGCTACTGGATCACCATTCAATTTACCACCTATGCCTCCTGGTTATCCAGATATTACCGATCCAAGAATGGCAAATTTTATACGTGAACGTATGTTGTTCGGAATACCTGGATCAGGAAATTTTCCAGAAATTGTTGGCCAATTTCCAGTTGGTCATCCGTTTGTATCAAATCCACCACCAATGTTATGGCCACCATCACAGCCACAAACACCAACATTATCAGATGGAAAATCAACCGTACAACAACAACAACAATCATCACCATCAATAGAACAATTACAACAGATTTATATGCAAAATCCATGGTATGCAGCAATGTTATCAGGTAATAATGGTCGAAACATTCCACCTGGTTCAACACCACCAGGAATAGCTGCAACACAATTAACTGGTAATCCACAATTATGGGCTGCTTTTGCTGCTGCATATGGAAATGGATCTAACATAACAGCTCAGCAACAACAACAACAACCACCATCGGTATCAATACCGACATCAAATCATCATATGGGATCAATAATGAATAATAAACATATTCAATCACCGGATACATTTTTAAAACAAATCGATACGGAAAAATCATCAACATCATTATCACCACCACCATCATCAATACGAATGGAATTATCACCTGATCAAAAATCAATAAAACAAGAATTAGATATAGCAGCTAATTGTAATAATAATGATAATATTAATACGACTACGATTGATGTGGCAAATAATTCACCACCATCATCATCGCCTAAACGTTCCATAAATGAAGCTGCAGCTTGATTTTTTTCCCCCTAATTTTATCATTCTATGATTGTAAATATTTTAGTCAATTGTTCTCAATCATACACACACACACACACAAACGGATAATCTCATTCATTTGAAAACAAAACTAATGATGATAACCATAATAATAATAATGTTTGTATCATATTCATAAATTGTATTACAAAACACAACAAGAATTTGTTTATTTTTAATCTTGATTTTCCAATATATCTTATTATTATTATTTTATCGTTTGATTTTGAACTAATAAATATAACTATTTAGACGCACAAAAATCAAAGCTTGTAATTTAAAAATTTTTCCGGGAAAATTGTTTTTCCGCTAAGATCATGATGATGATGATGACATTTAGTAGATGACATTTTCTTGTTTCCATATTTTTGTTTTTTTCTCGCTATTTCATATAGTTTTTTTTGACAGCCGATTCTAATTCGATCCGTCAACACTTTTGGTGGTCTTTCGACAATATGTATGTCGGTGTGTGTGTGTTAAGTTTTGTTTCATAGTTTTGGTTGTTGTTTGAAGACGAAGAAAACATTTGATTTGTATTTGAACCGTATCAACTGAAGCTAGGTCTAGCAACAACAAAAAAATTCGTGAATAATGATGATGATAGGACCAACAAAAACAAAATTTGACCGATATATTTCCTGTGATGGCTTGTGTTTTGCACTGCAAAACAAAAAACACCACCACCAATAAGGTGTTGTTTCGATTAATCGAATTGAGCTTAAATTAACCATTTTCGTTTCTCGAAGCTAATCATTTTTTGTTCATACTTTAAAAACAAAAAATTCAAAAGTAATTTATTATTATCGATAGTATAATCAACCGATATATATGTCGATTTTAAAATCAATGAACAAGTGAAATTAACTTAACTCGTAGAAAAGGTGTTAGTGAACTAACTGATCAGAAATGATTATTGTCAGTCATATATCTACGCCCATCGATTAGAAACTTTTCATCATCTTCATAGACCGCCTGAAGATTTTTTTTCACTGTTTAGTTCGGAAAGTTGTTTATGAATATTTTTTTTGTTCATTGTTTCATCATTATTTGTTGTTGCTAGGCTAGCCAAATGAAGAAATGAAAACAACAACAACAACATTAAAAGGATCAAAGAATAATTTGCCGACTTTAAACAACAGCAACAACAACAAATCTTATGACCACCATCAAACAACTCGTTCATTTTTTTGTTTTTGTTTCTGGTTTTTCAGTTTGATCCGATTGGATCTCATAGAAATCTTATGGAATCTGTGTGTCTAGAACTGAACAAAACAAAGAAAACAAAACAAAAATTATGAGGTGAGAAAAATCCAAAATGTTTTGGTGAAATTTTTCATATTTTCTATTTTCATCACTAGGATTTTTTTCCATTTTCGATCGTTGATCATTTTTTGACGAAAAAAAAATTGAAAAATTATTAAATTTTCAATTTCAGTGAACGACCAAATTCTCATTGAATTACAAGATTGCATGATAATCTCATCATCATCATGGAGATGATGGAAAAAGAAATGACGAACGAATCTCATCATCGATATCGTCATCATCATCACGAATTGACGAAATGAAAATTTAGTTTGCTTGTGTATGTCGGCGCCCGAACACCTCTCTGTGTTTCTTTACCTTGACACCTATTTTTTTCTGATTTGAGAAACGAAAAAAAAAGTGTGGCCAGTAAAAAGCGGTGCATTTTTTTTGTATGTGACCTTTTGTGTGTGTGTCGGCAAATACGTACCTATTAATTAGGGACGATCCATATTCACACCACCATTGGCATACACAAAGATAATAGAGAGAGAGAGAGAAAAAAAATTGATTTGATTATTTTCTCTGATTTTCTTGGGTTTTTGAAAAATTTATCGAAATTCTTTAAATTTTTTTCAAAATTCTTGTCGTTCTCATTATTCAAAGATTCAAAGATTTTTTTTCTTCAAAAAAGATTGAGATGGCTACCGATAGATGGCTGTTATATAATCAAAAAATTTTTTTTTGTTTCGAATATTATTCTGAATCCGTTAGAAGATAAATGATGATGATGATGAGCGAAAAAAAAAACTGATCTGAAGAACAGAAAAAATGATACAATAACAATTTACCTAGATTTACCTTTTACCTAGATAATTAGAGTTTTTTTTGTTTCTTTTCTTTTTTACTTTGAAAAAATTTCAACTTTTAAATGTAAATCGGTCGGTGTGGTCGGTCAACAAGAAACAGAAGAAGAAAAGAAAAAAAAAGATCGATGAAATGCGGCAAATTTTCGGTTGATGATGGACATACGATCAGAAGCAATGTATTTTGGTTCGTAACAAAATAAAAAGGAAAAAAGCCCGCACACGTTTTTCATGTTTTCAACGTTCAATTTGTTTTTGAACTTTACTTTGGTCTTTGATTTACTTAGATATTCAATTAGGACTATTGATGATGATGATGATGATGACGGTGGTGACGATGATGATGGTGATGGTGGCCAGCCCTATTCTCGCACCTTTCACCTGGTAAGATATTTGAAAGAAAATTTTTCTTTTTTCTTTACATTGACTAGGTCCATTAGGTAAGATTTGATAAATAATGATTTGTGTGTGTTTGAAATTGAAGAAATTGTGTCTTCAGGGGCCAAAAAAAAATAAATATCTTGGGCCTCATTGGGTAAAAAGTTTGGTTGGCCGAGATATTGTTAATTTGCCATCCATTGATTCATCATTATCATCATCATGAAACGTGCTGTTCGTTTTTGGTTTTGTTTCTTCACCTTTCTCATCACCATCTACATTCTGGCATCATCATTATTCTCGGATCAACTAAAATTAGAAATTAGACGAGAATTTTTTCATACAAAAGTCGGCATTTTTGCTTTCATCTTCCATTGGTATTTTTTTTTTACCTATGGTCCTAGGCAAAAATCTAGATTTATTCTTTGTGTTTATGAGTTGAAATGTCCACATTGAAATTTTCGATACAAAAAAAAAACAACATTACTTAACCTGTGTGTTTTAAACAACAACAACAACAACAAAAATCGGTTAAAATTTATAATCAAAAAGATTCGGAAGCAAGCAAAATAATTATGTCTAGTCAAACCATTTGCTGTTGTAAAATTTTTTTTGAATATTTTGATGAATTGATTTCATTTATTTTTTTGTATCAAGTTAATTGAATGAATGAATGGATGAACCTGTAAAAAGAAAAAGAAAAATGTAATTAAAATTTAGCCATTATAAAGTAAAAAACATTAGATGATAATTTCGTGAATCAAATCAAGAAACATCATCATTTTACCATTTGGCCATAATGATGAAATCATTGATTTCATTGAAATGTATCTTTTTTTTATTGTCGTCGTGGTCGTCGAATCGTTCATTTTCGTAATAATACAATGTTTATTTGAAAGAGTTAACGTCTCCATTTTTTTTATGACACACAAAAATCTAGACCATAAAAATTATCAAAATACATTATGGGCCGAAACAAAAACAGTGATGACAGGATTTATAATTGCAAAACGAATAACTCATTAACTTATATGAACCGTATGGTCATTTTTAGCTATTTTTGACTAGACAAACTGATAGGCATCAGGCTTAAATAATTCGTTTTTTTTCTCGTTTATTTTTGTTTTGGTTTCAGGTTAATTATTTTAGAAAGTCAAGGTACGAAATTATTTTGTTGATTGTCGCCAAAGCCATTTCTTTTGAAGACGTTTATAACCGTTGGTAATATCATCGAAAATTTCCAATCAAATTAAGATCGTAGCACGTCTTGATTTTTTTTTGTTTTGTTTTGACGGAACAAAAAAAATTAACAACATGCTGCCGCCATCTATGAGCAAAATGGTCAATTCTTTTGTTTCATCAACAAAAAAATGGTCTTTGTTCGAGTTCTCGGCAAAAAAAAAACGTTCGAAATTTTTTTTTCATTTCCGATCTGCTCGATTATCTTAAATATCGATATTGTCCACCGAATGACAATCAAACTCCAAACGATTGTATATCATCGATCATCATGATTATTTATTTTTATCAAATATATCCAAAGATTCTTTTACAATTCGATAATACTTATTGATTATATCTAAGTTGAATTATCACTAAAAAAAACTAAAATAACTTGTCGGTTCGATGGCTAAACCGTCCGAATTATCTGCTTGAATGATTTATATCCAAAAGAAAAAGTCAAAATAAAAACATAATTTCTTTGTTGTTATTGTTGTTGGTCGAATCCATGGATGCAATTAACCACAATTAGCCAAAAGGAAAAAAGAATCTATTAGCCGAATTGCTTCGATTTTTTCTTACTCGAAAAAATAACAACAACAATGATTAAAAAGATACTTTGTAATTGAAAATTGGATGACCGGATTTGAAAAAATGAACAAAACAACAACAACAACAAAATGAATCATCCAAAGTAATAATGATTCTTCCTCGGCAAAAATAGACCAATTTTTATCAAAAAAAAATACCAATCAAATTAACAACGACAACAAAAACGGATTGCTGAAAGTAATCGGCCATATATGAACAATGTTAAATTCTTCCAACAAATGAATGGCCACTGATATTATCAATTCGACTGTCTGTATCTGGTCGGTATCTTTTTTTGCCTATTATTTTTCAATGTAATAATAATAAAAGAATATAATCGTAACATTTCATAAAGATCTTTTTAGATGATTTATCCTGATGATCAAACAGGTCAAAGATTGACAAACTTGTCAGTGAAAAAGCATGCGAAAACAAAATATCGAACAATTCAATCTCCAACAGTAAAGATTCGATCAAAATATTGATCGATTATTGTTTATGTGGTAAGTATAACTCAGAAAAAATAACAAAAAACTTATAACAACATTTTTTTTATCTCAATTCAATAGGATATGTTGTTGTTTTTTTTTGATTTTATGAACAAAAAATGATTTGTTAATTGGTGACACATCAAATGGACCTGAAACAAACAGAAAAAAACAATGACAATCGGCTGTCAATCATTCGATCATCATCATTATCGTTGTCGAAAATGTAACATTTTTCAAAAGAAAAAAAAATCTATAAATGGACACACGCCAAGTTTATGTTTCAAATTAAGATAATAAGA